TAGTTATTAATTATTATGTTAAGGTTTTAGTATATTTTTTGTTGTTTTCTTTATTATCTGTATAATAGTTGTTCAAACATTTTATTTTATTATCTGTTATATGTCCGGGTGCATGAACAATATTTATTAATTTAATGGACCAATCATGACATCATGTGACCACTAACTCATTATTGATATTTGATTCGTTACTGTACAGTGATTGTACATGCAACCCGGTATAATAGTTATTATAATTTTAAGTATAATTATATAAATTTCAAATCATAACAATGATGCTTTGCCTGACATATTATGCATATTTATAGTAACTGAAATAACAAACCAAATTACATTATTTTTATATAGGTTACTACTTATACATATAAGTGCGAAAGTGACCCGTCATTTGGTCCGGTATATTATATCCGGAGACATTTGATCCTGTACAAAAAGGTAAACTTACACTTTGTACTATCTATTGTTTGAGTTACATAATCCGAGGACACTTTATAAGGTGAAAATAAATTAGTAAAAATCGATCGTGGGCACTTTGTACGGTAATATTAAATTGGTAAATATCGATCGTGGAYACTTTGTACGGTATAAATAAACTAGCAAAAATATTTTACTAAAAAATATCCGGCTAAAAAACGTCCGGTAAAAAATATTATAAGTATAAATATAGAATAAAAATGTATATAAATTAGAATTAGAATTTTAGAAAAATAATCTAAAATATTGTAGGATATTATAGAACAAAACTATATATATATTATTTTGATAATTCCAGTATATCATGTAGTATGTATTATTAAGTCTGAAACAATATAATTTATAATTTATATAGTAATTGATTATTATTCTTATTACTTATTATAATTATAATTTATTTATATATTAGTATATTACCGACGTTTTTTAGCCATTGATTATTATTTTTATATTTTTTTACCAAACGTTTTTTAGTCGGATATTTTGGTACAGGGTCTGTTTTAACCGGATCAATAGTCACCGGATATAAATTACCGGACTAAATGACATGGAACTAGGTGTGAAGGGCGTAAGTATGATAAGAAAAATATCAGCCTGGTAGCATAAGAAGTATGTTTAATAAGCACTGCTTACACTTGAAAAAAAGGAAAAATAAAAATAAATATTAATATTATTATAATAACAAATTTCATTTCAAATTAAATCATTGACTACTTTTTTTTTGTTTTCAACAATAATAAAAATAATAAATAATTTTATGTTTAGAATAAAAAGATAAAAATCTTGACGAACACATGTTTTGGTTGTCGTCGTCGTCGTCGTCGATTGTTGCATGTTGTAAGACGATGGACAATTTATTTTCGTTCTATTAATATTTGATATTGACGCGTCGTGCCGTGGTGTAACATGTTCTGAAACTGCTTACGTGAGCTAATAGACACGATATACGTACAATGTCGTAGAGGGGATGTCGTATTTAAACGCAATTTGTAAGCACTTATGATTTTGCATACACCACGGTACCAAACGGTTTATTATTATTTTTATTTCCGATAAAACGATAACCGACGGCTGAGTACATTTGTGCGATTGCATTGCATTGTTTGAATCATTCAACGTACATGATTATTATTTTTGTATTAGTATTTTAAATAATAGATTTATAATTGACTTGCAACTTGCTATTGAATTTCCAATACACTATAGTTATTCTGCTTACACTTTCCCAAAACACACGCTACGCCACTGTTTAAATTTGCATACCAGACTACAGTCACAGTCGAAATGTTTAAAAAATAAATTGAGTRAGTATAACTTATATGAATATAATGATTCAGGTACTCGGCAAAAGCTAGATGTCACAAGCATTGATAATATTTTATTATTAAAAAATGTATAAATATGAAAGCAATATAATTAGTTAATCGCATCGTTTCAAAAATCATCTGACGATAAATGGATCTTAGTTATCCGGAAGACCGGAAAACATGAGATATGAATCTCAGTTGTCAAAAAGAAGTGTTTTATATTACGTATATTCAAAATATTTATCATTACCATCATATATCTGTATCAAATTTTTGATCTATATAAGTCAATAAAATACACAAAATACGCTACAACCATATTTATAAGCCTACACAAATTTGAAGAGTTACAATTTATAAAATTATATTTATAGATGAATTGACCATTACAAAACGTAAGACATACTAAAAACATGCCCCAAAATGTATGGTTGACACTGTTGAARTGTTGACAGTATATGTATAGTACCTATAATCTATAAATCATATGTTAAATATATTATATTACCTGAATAATTTACTTGAATCAAACATACCATGGAAATATGTCTTAACTTATAACTTAAGTCACATACCCACGTACATCTTTAAGTTGGAAAATTATATTCTTTTTGATTACCTATTTAATCATACCGTAATTATTTTTCATGATTAGTAGTCACTATACGTAACTTTATAGACGCGGCCTTTTTTTTTTTCTTATTATCGATGACGCTGCCGGAACTGCTTGCGCATTACGTCAACAGCGCCGCCATCGTTTATTAATAATAAAGAATATAAAGAATATAAAGAATATAATAAAAATAATATAATAATATAATAAAAATATAAAGAAATAAAATATAAAATATTATTATTATATAAAAATTATATTATATAAATAAATTATATTATATAAAAATTATATTATTATATAAAATAATATAATAATATAATAAAAATATAAAGAACCAAAACCAACAATAATGACATTATTATACACTAAAAATGATAATGAATAATTACAAACATGCATACAATATTAACAAATACTATCCTCCTTTGATGAGCCGCTGAGCCGACTTCTTGGGCCGACCGGAGTCCACCACCCTTGCCATCCCGTTCCAGATTGCCCCTCTTTCCGCGGTCCTCCTTCCGTCACTTCATAGCTTGTCCGCTAGGCTTCTTCTGCCTGTCTGGCCCTCTCTTCCTCTTCTTTGAGAGTCAGGATCTGTTCAACCATCTTGTAAAAGATGCTGAACGTCTCCTCCGCGTTGTAAAGAACATTGGCCTTAACTGAGTGATCCAACGGCAAGTCCTCGAAAGCAGGGCCGCAGAGAATGGCCGGCATGTCCTTAACAGCTGGGGGGTGGCCTAAGCGCCCGCTAAGATCCTACCTTAGACCGCTCCAATACTGGCACTCAAAAAGGGTGTGGTTAACGGTGTCTGCGTCACTGTTGAAATGATGACAGCACGTGCTGTCAGCCCTACCCATCCGGTGTAGGTAATACTGGAAGCAACCATGGCCCGTCAGTGCCTGGGTCATGTGATACGCCAGAGGCACCTCCGGGATCGTTCTCCCCAGCCACCTACTGATGTCCGGGATCGCTAGCCGTGTCCACGATGCCTTAGTCGTGGAAGACCATCTAACTTGCCACTGAGCGACCGTTATCCTCCTTTCTTCCCTCTTGATAGTGTCCTTGGAAAGGGGGGGGGTGGATCCCCAGGAAGTGCTAGAGCGTGCGTCCGGACCCTAATTCTTAGTCTCTCTTTCGCTAAGAGATCAGCTGGAGGCATGGCGGCTAACAACGGCGAAGCCTCGTCTGACACTGTCCGGTAAGCCCGGATAACCCTTAGAGCAGCAGACCTCTGCGGTCGAATGAGATTAGCCCTGGTTCTAGCGGAAGCTGATACAGGGTTAATCCACACAGGAGCGGCGTACAACAGCTGGCTTTCTACCATCGAACAGAGAAGCCTCCTCTTCCATTGGCTTGGACCGCTTATGTTGGGCATAAGCCTAGCCAAAGCGAGTGCTGAGCGTGAGGCTTTCTTGGCAACCGTGTCCATATGTTTTGCAAACGTCAGCCTTTGGTCCAGAATGACCCCGAGGTACCGCAGCTGCTTATTTATCACTATTGGGTGTCCACCTATCGTCAGGTTCGGTGGAGTATATGCCCATCTCCTAGTCAGCATTACGGCCTAGTATGCCGTAATGCCCCTGATGGGCAAGCTGAAGGCCTTATAAACGCAGCCTACAGACCTCTATATATTTAATTTTTTTCATCCTTATATAAAGTGGGGAAAAGGATGTCGCTCTGGCCGTACGCCTATACAGTAGTTTACGAGTGGGTTACTGTAATGGATGGTATATTGCCATATTGGTATTAAAYTTGAATTCAATGATTTAATATCATTGTATACGAAAAACAATTACGAGCGGATACGGTTTACCAGTCCAGGATATTTTATAGTTTTATGTTATGTTAATTAAATTGCTATTATATTAAAAAAAAAAAATGCAAGTACAGATAAGATAAATCCAAATCAATAAAATCAGATTTATTATGTAMCTGACTCACTCAGTCGTTAATAGTAGGCATAAACAATTTATTTCTAAAGTATTAATATAAGTCATCAACGAGACAATGACATTAACTATTAAAATTAAATATTAGAATATAATATAATCTAGACATTTTAATTAGGTACCCACGAATAAAATTTTTTAATTACAACAATACAACTAAAATTGTTATTCTTGRTTATTTAATATGTAATTTCATACAAATTTGAACTAAAAATAAATATAAAAAAAAACTGTGTTCATATAGTTTTTAGATTTTTATTTGCCACAGAATTAATAACTATAAGGTACTTACGTGGAACCTTGTTTTAAATTTTCAATCCTATTATTATAGCTATAAAAGYTAAACGTTTTATACATTTTTTACAACTAAATAATTGGTAAATTTTCAATTAAATAAATTTTGTCAAAATTTGAACTTTAAAAGGGTATATATAAAAAAAAACTTGCCTATGTATTTTTAAAATATGCCAACTGCTATTATTTCTGAATTATATACAAGATTTTGAAATTTTGATTGGTGAATCACATTCAGCGAAAATTTTCTGTATCTATAATAATTATTTTTAAAGTTCCACCAAAAACCAAAATCGATTTTGTTGAAAACAATTTTGCTTAGTTTTCTTTTAGTTTTTGTTTGTTTTTCTTGACGTTTTTGAAAGCTATTGGGAATTTAATCCAAAATTTGAAGCATTTTCGCTGTTCTACACACACATGACAATGTAAAATCAATACATTCGTCGCCACGCTCAGAATCTAGAAATCATATTATTAAAGTAAAATTAATGCAAATATATACAAGATAAAACAATTAAAATTGTTGATCTTTAGACATTCACGTCTATGATAAATACACAGTGAAACTTCCATACAACGAACTTCCATTTAACGAAATTTTCTGTTTAACGAAATATTTTTAAGAACTACCTATGACCTTCATTGTTAATTACACGTAAATTTATCTCCAAATAAGGAATCTGATGTTTCTAGGTATATAACAAAATAATTATTCGATAAAAACCAGTTTTTGTAWATGTTGTCAGTATCAAATTGATACTTTATGTCATAGTTCTAAAATTGTACATTACATTCTTTCGTTTTCTCTTCGTCCGTACAAAAAAAATGTCGAAACGTAAATGTTTATCTATCGCCGTTAAAT